AATACACTTGCATCCTTGTATACTAAGAGATGGTCTAAATTTTCAACTCAATATGTACACTATCACTTAGACACTACAACACAATCTTTAAAAAACAAAAAAACTGTTGTATCTGTTGTCAGTTAAGTAGAAAATAACTTACCGTCTTAAAGCTGGATTACTACTGTATGATTTAGCTAGTGCATATTGTAGATCAACTATGCGTTCAGGATCATCACAGTGTCTGTGCATTTCAGCTGTCGCTGTGAGTACAGTTAATATCCGACGTATTAAATCATCAATATCATCTAAGAATAAACGAATATTTGAATCAGTCCAAAATTTTGTATACGTTGTTGTTGTTGTTGTTGGCGGTGGTGGTGATGATGGTGTTGTAGTTGTAGTTGCTGTAGTCTTAGTGGACATTGATGGTGATGATGATGATGTTGTTATCGATTTTGTTATACTCATCATTTCAGAACTACGATGCATATCTGTTTGTGCTAAACTTTGCAACAGACTTAAACTTGCTTCAAAACCTGGACTGATTTCACTGACCAACTTTGAAATAGCAATAATTGTCTTTAAAATAAATAAATAAATAAACAAACCAACAGTAAGAACATATGATATGCGAATATAGAAACAAGGTGGTGGTATATCAAAAGAAATCTAAATATAGTTAAATAGAAATAAAGGTATATCAATTTGATCGGTTGGAGGATTTCATCATGAGTTGACATCAGTTAGAGAGAACCATTGGAAAACCAGCACCAGAGTACTGGACAAACAGCTGTTGAGAATCTTCAGTGGTATGCACCCACCTCCAGGGTTCGAACCCAGGACCTTCTAGTTACAAGGCGAGCGAGCTCGTAGATCATTCAGCAGCCACTGGGACCCGATTCAATACCCAACCTATGAATTATAACTTCTACCAATTAGTGATTTAGCGCGACCACCAACCAATGTCATCGAAGAGAAATCCATCCTCACACTTGACTGGTTGAACCTCACTGGTTACGACTTCTTAGTAGAACTCCAAGAAACACTGTCCTGTAGCAAGTCACTGGTGAGAATCAGATTAATTATCAAGAGTTGGTTTGTAAGGATTAGGTTTGTTTTTACGAGCTTGCCTTGTAACCAGAAGGTCCTGGGTTCGAACACTGGCAGTGAGTGAGTACTGTCGATGATTCCCAAACTAGGATGGAACAGCTATCCAGTACGCAATGTAGCTGGTTTTCAATGGTTCTCTAACTGATATCAATCCGTGGTATGTTTGTTTCTTTTAGTTGTTTTTCTTTTTTGAAAAAAAGGTCAAATCTTGATATTTGTCTGGTTAAATTAAAAAAACATGTATTTTGATGTTTGAGAGTCATTAACTGGCTGAATTTATCTCTCTCTCTCTCTCTCTCTACCTTAGTGATTGATATTATCTTCACTGAAATTCTAATTTACTACAATTAAAAATGAATTGTTTGATAGTGACTAGCAGTGGAATACAGCATGGGCATTTCGTTCTGTTTAGGACTCGTTGAAACATCTGCATAAGGAGCCCGGATTTCGACCTGAGGTCAAGTATTTCGGTTCAATCAATCAATGGAACGTCCAAATTGAATTATGCATAATTACTGATATCCGTTGCACAAGAAAGAGGTGGCGCTTTGTGGTACAAGTAGTCAAGTACATAATGTTTTGGCGTTTGAAGCTATAGTTACTGGGCTCGAACCTCAGTGGGAACACAGTCAATTACTGAGGGAGTGCAGGTATATCCAGATGATGAATCCCAAATGGGACGAAATGAACATCCTGAATTCCACTGCTTGTCAGTCACCATCCACAAACTAACTTCAAGTTGAATAATCAGACATCGTCGAAGCATCTGTGCACAAGCAGCCAATATGTTAACCTCATGCTGGGCACTTCGGTCCAATCAATCAAAAAGAAAGTTGAAACTGTTAATTAAATGAGAAATAATGGGATATATTAGTTTTTTTTTAAATAGGTGAAAACACTGGCATTCGTCTGGTAATACTTAGCAGTAGAATCCTGAATGCATGTGTTTTCTTGTTTAGCGCTTATTAACAGGACGTATCGCATTTAGTGAATGATAGTTTGGTGTACACTACTGACAAGATTTATCAGTAGTATATTTAGTGCGAGGTTCATCGGCACACAAAAATATCAAATAACCGAGAGAGAGAAAGACACGAAGAGAAGACAAAGAAACACAATACGAAGGAAGGACAGATGAGGTAGCAAGCACAACACGGAAGATCTGTGCAACAATTGACGATTTTCATATAAAGTGGTGTGCATAATTTCCCCATATGTAATATACCAAATTACTGATAAACATTCCGTTACCAAATCTCTTGTCTTCTCCAGTTAGTTATATTGTGATTATTGAGCCAAGTAACATAAACGCTTAAGTACACTGTATATCAGTGCATTTTAGTTTTGTTTTGGATATTTATGTTAAAAAGAAGTCAATTAACTAACAGGGGACACTACTACTACTACTACTACTACTACTACTACTACTACTACTACTACTACTACTACTACTCAAGTAAACACTATTTCATACCTAGCATTATCGTTTATCCTACCATTTTATTATAGTTGGATTTGCTGATTGCCGATCATAATAATTACAATTATCAAACAGAAGAATATTTATAAGCTAAACGAATGATTTCCGTTGTATCATATTCTCTGAGTTCAATTATCAGGTATTTATTGTCGTTTCGCATGCATCAGATATCACAAGACATAAATGTGTGTGGACGTAAATAGAAGTAGAAATAGAAAAATAAAGACAAAAATCAAACAATCTATTGAGAGTCGACAGCTTAGTAAATCACCGTTGACAAAAATCACATTGTTATTATTATTATTATATTATTATTATTATCATTATCATTGTTCCCTTAGGTTCCTAATAGAATATAGGGCTTCAACAGCACGTCCATCGTTTCGTCTTGTCCTCTGCAGTCCTCTTCAACTGACCCCACGACTGCCCATAGTCTCTCTCATCTCCTCCTCACCCCACGATCTCCTCCAATGTAACCCTCGGATAACCCATCGGGATTCCACTCGACGGCCTGTCGCGCGATGTCATTCAACGGTCTCCTCAAAGTGTGCCATCCAATCCATCCACATTTTCTCCTACATATTTGTTAACCAATAGATTCTTGATTGGTTAGTTCCACTACAGACTTACTTGTTGCTAATTCTTTCTGGCCAACCATTTCATCTTCAATATGGAGCTAGCGAAGTTGGCAGCTGTTGATAAACCTCTGCAACCGCCTGTTGGAAATGCCTTCTGTGACACACTGGTCAAATTTCTGACCCATATAGATGTGACTGACTAACTGATGGGCTTCACACTTGTGTTCGAAATTCAAACCTTGTTCTTTATGCTGAGGCGGAGTGCAGTGCAGAAGCTTTTCACACTGATTACAGAGTGATGAAGGTGTACCTCACTTTTCCGATTCTGATTGGTTTTGACATCTTCATCTGTGAGGACTACCACCTGTAGTTGAAACGATGCTTCCTAGATAACTGAAGAAAAGTAACCTCGCCCAAATTTCTCCCATTGATAGTGATTGGTGCTGATTGTTATTGTTGGTTACCTTTATCACCTCCGTCTTCTCTATGTTCACCTGCAGTCCTGTCTTCTGTGACTGCTTCTTCAGACAGTTTGGTGGTTTCCACCTGTAAGTCTTCGAGTTTGTGCGACACATTAGACATCAATTTGACACAAAGCTATCAACCATTAAAAGGTCAGTATGCATTAATAAATGATCAATCATATTCAGAGCAATCAAAACAAACAGTAACAGCAACAGACAACAACTTAGCCAGCATGAATAGGAGGAATCTGAAAGAAGCAACATCTTTCAACTACTTACCTACCTGGGAAGCGTCGTTTCAACTCCAGACAGACGGAACTGATGAGGATATCGAAGCGAGGATCATCAGGAAAGCAAGGCTAACTTTCATCAATCTCAAGTCTGTATGGAGGTCAACAGCACTCAGCATGAAAAACAAGATGCGGATTTTCAACTGGAATATGCTGTCAGTGCTACTTTATGGATCAGAGACTTGGCGCATCATGAAAAGCACTTCGAACAAACTACAGACCTTCATCAACAGCTGTCTTCGCTCAATACTACTCAATATCAGATGGCTGGACAGAAAAGATAAGCAACAAAGATCTCTGGCAATGAGCGAACCTACCCAACAGGAACCGATTGTGCAACGAAAAGGCAGGAAGAAATCAAGGTGGATTGACCGTACTCTGAGATAACCATCATCAAGTGACATCACTACACAGGTCCTCGAGTGGAAGGTGAATGGGAAGCGGCGAGTTGGTCCGTCAGATCGAGGGTGATATGCAGGGGGAGGTCATGTGAAAAGGAGATAAAAGCACGTGGGCAGATGTGGAGTCAGGTGGAAACGTTGGCAGAGAACCGAACGCAATGGAGACGTGTGGTTGAAGCCCTATGTTCCTCTAGGAACTAAAGGAAACAATATAATAATAATAATAATAAGACAAACTCCACAGGTAATCAGACACAAATACCTATAAGATTATGAAAACGTTAACACATCTAGAAATACATACACACATTCATACACACACACTCACTCACAAAAAGACATCTACATTACCTGTAAGTGCACACGATGAAATCCAGCTTGATGATGTGTTTCAAAACTACACTTCCATAGTCGATACAAGAAACCACAAGCATCTAAACAAAGTTTACTGATTACATTTTGATTATCCATAATATTATCATTATTGTTATGAATATCATTCTGATTAGTATTCAGCGTGGTTTGATCTGTTTCATGCGCCTCAAAACTCCGTATTTTTGGAATTGATGGAGGTTTACCTCTAATATTATAATTTGTATCAATATTCATTGTAGACAATGTCATTATTCCACTATTAGCTGCTGACGATAATGATGTTTGACAATTTCTATCAAACACAAAGTCATTATGTGAAGCTAAGAGATTTGCAGTTGTTGACAATGACGACGAAGGCAGAGTTGATGATGTGATGATGAGAAGGCTAGAAAACATTGATTAGAACATCGTAAACCAGCTAGACACAGTGTACTCAGAATATCTGTCGATTCGGAGAATAAGGTCTAGAGAAAATAAATAAATAAATAATAAAAATAACCAGGAAATCAATCAGTGAAAGAGATAAGTTTGCATAGAAGAATCATATAGCTATGAGTTATTCAGTGAAGCATTTGGGTAACAAATCAATAGACTTGAAGATTTCATTTTCAATCTTAGAATTAGAAAGCCTTCGTACAACTCTTCCTTAATAATGGATATCCTAAAAGATTTATCGACAGAAACATCAAGAAAGAAACCATCCTAAGCAAAATAATCACAGTGCCGAAGAAGACATTGTTTATGAGTTTGGCTTTCAAAGGTGACATTACTTCTGAAGTAATTAAGAGGCGTTTATCGAAATGTATTAAACGGTGTTCTTATTCAACTGACTTATGCAGGTACATCCAGATGACGAGTCCCAAATAGGACGAAATGCGCATCCTGGATTCCACTGATAGTCACCATCCACCAATTAAATTCCAACTGACTTACATTTAGTATTTACCAGTCGAAATATGATTCAACAACGCGTCAAGGATAAACTACCGCTTATGTCCACCTCTATGTGCATATACTCCTTCACATGCTCGTGCGAGGTTGATTACATTGGACGTTGTAAGCGTAATCTCCGTAAATGCATAGCTGAACACTACCCGGTTTAGATAGTGAAAGGTGAGCAAAGGAGGATAAAGTCTTCAATCTGTGAACACCTTCTGGAGTTAGGTCATTTAGCCCCACGTGGTGATTTATCCTTTAAAGTTATCTACACGACCAAATCCAATCACTCCAAAAGTTTACGTTTTCTCCACTTATGCAAAATTAAAGTTTTAGCTACACATGGACAAAATCCTAAATTATGTACACTCAAAAACGTTTTGTCAAATCCCTTTCTTTATCTTGGTCATAGTAGTGTTCTTTTATTTTATTTTATTCTATTTTACCACTTGAATTTATTCGACTTCTTCACTTTATCTTCGCTGTCTTTATTGTTATCATCATCGTACACTTCGTTCTTTTTTTTAGACAACACTTGTTATTATATTGTTTCCTTTAATTCCCAGAGGAACATAGGGCGACAACACCTGACCTACTATTTTTAAAATTTTAATAATGATTCGCTTATTTAATAATCTTTAAGCGTATTAGATGGTTGGAGACAATCGGCAGGAAGCCTTAGACCTAGGTTTCGTGCTAGCTGGCACTCATCAGCAAGGCGTATCTGCAACCTGGAAGGAACTCATGTCCCTTCTGAAATTCGAACCCACGTTATCCAGTGCTGCAATCAGAGACGTTTTGTAATTCAATCCACTTCAGCCCAACCCCCCTTAGTAGTACATCATTTTAATGATATTTATTCTTATCATGTGTGCAATATTGACCACTGAGCAATTTCTAGTGCCACTTAATGCCTTCTTTTTCCGTAATATAAATGCGACTGCTGTACAGCTGCTTGAAAATGAAGTCGTTGAAAAGAGATAGTATTTCTTCGCTGAACAAAAACGACTGTGTTTTTCCTTATGGGCATATTTCGATATTTGAAAGTGCCAATTTAAACTTTGAATAGTATTCAATTAGTGTGTGCAGTACATGGTATTTATTTTATCTTAGATTTAGGGTAATTAATGAACGCTATTTAAAGCACTTATAATTTATGTATTTAAGAACTTGTTGTTTGAATAAAAATTACTCTTAACGAAGGTAAGCATCATGTCTCCTCCAGTTATAATCGATATGTTGGCTCCTAGTAGTACACAGACACTTCAATGATATCTGAAGATTGACAGGATTTGAATAAAGCAAGAACAACAGTGGTTTGTGCAGAATAATATGGTACCATCATTTATTTCGTTGGCTTCTCATCAGCTGCCTGCGTACAGCCGAAATAAATTATATTATTTAGTTCATGTACAGAAAAGTTTTAACCTACTAGCAAATTTTACATGATGTCAGTTGACTGGAAGTTGCGAACTTAGTGAACAGTGCTCAGAGAATTACGTTTGTATAGTTTTTACAAGCAAAATTACAAATTATAAAAGAGGATGAGGTTAAAGCCAAGAATTACGTAATCAAACGAAAAAAGAATAAAGACATCCAGTTAACAGGGCAAGGAAAGACTAATAACTGCTTCTTTCTGAACACATAAATCTGGTTTCAAGCGTTTGATAGTAATTGCTTCGGCAAACTTGCGGAGAATGGAGCTCCTTTGTCCATTGATAATTTTAAAGGATTTCGCGATTGCCTCAAGTTTGCCGAAGCAATTACTATCAAACGCTTGAAACCAGATTTATGTGTTCAGAAAGAAGCAGTTATTAGTCTTTCCTTGCCCTGTTAACTGGATGTCTTTATTCCCTTTTCGTTTGATTACGTAATCCTTGGCTTTAACCTCACCCTCTTTTATAATTTGTAATTTTGCTTGTTTTTTTAAAAACTATACAAGCGTAATTCTCTGAGCACTGTTCACTAAGTTTGGAACTTCCAGTCAACTGACATCATGTAAAATTTGCTAGTAGGTTAAAACTTTTCTGTACATGAACTAAATAATATAATTTATTTCGGCTGTACGCAGGCAGCTGATAAGAAGCCAGTGAAATAAATGATGGTACCATATTATTCTGCACAAACCACTGTTGTTCCGGCTTTATTCGAATTCATCAAGGGGAATAAATGCATGAAGATTGACAGAATGTTAGTTGGCCGGTGGTGGATAGCAGTGGAGCTCACAATGAGCACTCTGCTTCTAGCATAGGCTCGGCAGATAGATGTATCAACATCCCCAGTTGTTTTCATTGAGCACAGTGGCCTAGTGGATAATACCACTTTAGCGTTTAAAATGATGGATACCCGACTGGAGGTTTGGAATAGTTTTAATCAAGATGCGAACTTGTATCCAGTGCTTATTGGTACTGGTTGAAGGGAAGTAGCTGTCACATACATACAGATACTATCAAGACCTGACAGTCATTAGTGACGGAGAGGGCTGTTTTGAAATGGCTTGAATTTAATAAATTTATCGAAGATTCAGCAACTATTTATCCAAGTGTTGCTTTGCAGGGATTTGATTTGATTGGTTACAGGATTTTATTGTGAGGTGAACTCAGTTAGGGAACTGTTGAAATCCTTCCACCGCCACCGGAGTACTGGACAGCTAGCCGTCTCGTCCTAGTGCTTCGGACTCTTCCACAGTAGTACGCACCCACCGCCAGGATTCGAGACCAGGACCTCCGAGTTAAAAGGAGAGCTGGTAGAACCTCGTTTGTGGGTGTGCAGAGTACCAAGCTAGTCTGACGAAACAGCTGTCCAGTTATCCGATACTGGTCTTCTAATGGATCTCTAACAAATCTCAGCTCATGATGAAATCCTGTAACTATTTATTCATCAAAAAAGATAAAATATCGCATTGTTTTTATGTTTAGTTGACTGAGACTTTTTTTTCCTTTACGTTCCCAGTGGAACATAGTGGCCTTCAAGGTAGAGACTTAAAGTTTCAATAGCAGTGGTGTTTACTTTTACGGGATAGGGATGCGCTAGCCTTATGCCAAACCTCGCCTCTTCATCAGTCTTATTACTGGCTTAGTGAGGTAAAGGAGTGCGTCTGTGGCCGGGGATCGAACCCCAAACCATATGAGGCGTAGTTGACGAGCATTCTACCTCTGTGCTACAGTTGACTGTTATACATACTTCATACTCTTTCCTTTTCTTACTTGTTTGTTTTACACTCAAAAAGTGACCCCACTGGTTTAAGCACTTGTTTTTCAACCAATAGGTACTAGGGTTCGAACCCTATCCTATCATCATATACTGGTCACAATTAGACATCCAATCATGATAACTGAATTCTAACCAATCATAGATGTAGGCGAAGTGTTAAAGCGCGAAGTTTAAAATTAAACATTAACCACACATACTACATTGTTGATAAAAGCAAAAGAAAAGCACATGGTATTGAATCTCACGTAGATATTCAATACATCTTCTTCTTACTTGAGAATTTTGATTGATAAATACACGTAGAGCAGAGAATGTATGTCGTATAACATGATCGGATGGATTGTTCGATAGAATAGCGACATAAGTTTCAAGTAAGCACCGAAATACTGGATCATTGGGTTTACAACTATTCAACTCTGACTAAAATTAGAAAGGGAAAGATGAGGCGGGGAAAAAGCAAAAAAAAGGCAAAACATTTTTATGATTACAAAATAAAAATGAACAAAGACAATTTGAACAACAACAACACAATACTTTGATAAAGCTATAAGCATTAAATAGCGAAACGTCAGTAAAAACAATATCGTTTTGTTTTTCATTCCTTGGGAAATACAAAATAATAATTATAATAAACAACAACAACAGCAGCAAAAGGGTTCACAAACAAACAAACAAACAAAGTTAACAGAGAATAAACTGAAAACAAACAAGCAACCAGCCAATTTAAGATGATGGATGAAATATATGCTGCATCAAGAGTGTCAGAGCTTGGTGATTTCTTTCCCACAAAATGCATAGTCATTCTCTCCTTTCTCCCCCTCCCTTCTTCCCACCAACCCACACAACTGCCGTACGTCTGTCTATGAAATCAATTTAACAAATATATTCTCCTAATGAATGAACAGTTGTTATTAAACCTGGAAGATAATTACACCCAAGTGTATATGGGTGTTGTGTTGTGTTCTTTTTTAATCATAATATACAACTGAGAATTCAATAGTGTTAATCATACATCTATCTGACATACACACGCACACACACACACAGAAACTAAGCAGATCACTTGATGACTAGTTAAATGCTTGTTTTGTTGTCTAAACATTTCACCACTCCTTTTCAGGTTGGTCTGACGTGTATTTTATACATATATGTGTGTGTGTGTGAATATGTATCACTCAGATAACAAGTCTAATATCCCATGTCAATCTGACCCAGTGTGAATGGCAACTTTCGCAAATAAATCCTGATGCATAACTGTTATTTTCTAATGCATACAGATTTTTTTTTGAAGTAATTCAATAACACCATGGGGCTATCCACAATTATTACGTATGGTACAACATGGATCGTCTGGAAAAGATTTTGGATACTATCTGATTATTGAACTCTCAGTGGGTGAAAGTGCACAGTAAAAAAATTCAGCAAACTACAGTGTTAGAAGTTAAGCACACAGCTACAAAGAATAAAACTAAACTGTTAACTAAGGAGCTCAAGATTATATGAACACTAATTGATTAGTTACAGGAATTCATTATGAGCTGACATCAGTTAGAAAACCATTGGAAAACTAGCACTGGAGTACTGGACAGCTACCTCTTCCTAGAGCTTGGGACTCTCCGGTGGTGCGCACCCACCAATGGGGTTCGAACGCAGGACCTTCTGGTTACAATGCGAGCTCGTCAACCATTCACAAGTCACTGGGACCCGATCCGATGGCCAGTCCATGAATTCCAACTTCTGCCAATTCATGATATAGCGAGTATTCGTCCTCACACCCAACCTGCTGTATCCTACTGGTCACGACTTACTACTAGAACCCAGATAACTACCTTCCTGAATAGGACTAATGTTGCTTCAGAGATTTATCAGTCGAAATAAATTCAACAAATAATTCTCTTCAAGAAGGCAGAACAAGAGACACACATGAATTCATACATGCAAAAAAGATCTACAAGATGAGCGATAGTATGTTAACAACCATTTTATGTAACGCCTAACGATACTACCTGGCTACCTAAACCTCAGTAGTGAGCGGAACAACATCCAAATCTGTTGTCCAACGGTTGGTATTCAAACGATTCAACCACTAACCAGAAATTAAACTTTTTTGTTATCCCTATCGTTTGTGAAGTAAAAAGAAGGTCATACAAGGCTAGTCCATTCATAAAGGCTAACAGATGCATGTGAGATGTGAAATTATCTCAAAGTAAATTTCGTCACGAACTAATATGAGGTAAAAAGCTGTGTCAAAAGCAAGAAGCACATTATTTCGTCTCATTTTTGAACTTTTCTGCAGCGCTAATTAGCCATCCAGTGGATTCAAACTGTATAACTGACTGGTAATGTAGTTGACATGAGACTTTACAGTTTTAGGCTTCATTATCTTATAAGATAACAGATGGGTACCATGAAATCGTCATAAAGTGGGACACCTAACTAGAACTACTTGATTTCAAGGATACTCACAAATTGGGGTCAGTTAGCTAAAGAAAAAAAACCAACCCTAATTTGAATTCCCTGCATAAAAATAAATTTATTCATCTGATTTACATTTTGGTATTTTATGACTTATAGAAACCTTGTGTTTATTTCTTCAAAGGATCGAAAGTTCATGTTAAGAAAAGAAATTATAATAATACTACTTGTCCCTTAGATTCCAAGTTTAACAGCCCGACCGATAGCTACTACCTTGATGTCGTGGTCGGGCTTGCCCATCGCGATGACCCAACAAGCTACAGTGGCTAGAACTATTGTTCCTGCAGGTTCTACCATGCCAGGAAGGTTGATAGGATAGTGATTAGACTAAAAGCAGTTACCGGTGTAGTGTAAGAATATTTCTTACACTACACTGGGGGTCTGAGGGCGAAGTTGTACTGCTCGGGAACAGGGGTGTAACAGCGGTGAGGTGTTTCCCTCAGATAACCAACATGCCAGCTGTGCTGTCTCTCCACTCTGGGAAGAAGGGGTTAGAAAAGTTCGACCCCAAAAATTGTACATCCCGACTTACCCTAACGGTGGTAAGTTTACTAATACGGAACCAAACTAAGAAATCAGTTCAGACAGGCCGTGTGTGACCGGCCACCATCAAGCAGTTGTCCCCTGGGCTCTGAGGTCACGCAACACTAACCCTCTTTCTGTTTCACAATCAATCAACTTCCAAGGTGTGGGCAGCCCGGAAGTAACAACCGCCCACACACTTCCGAAAGCACACGAGTTTAAAATAGTGTAGTGAGAGCTGTCTACTAGCCAAATTGGAAGACATTAATTTACGTCAATGTTTACGTTCTCAAGATTTGTCGTGAGAAAATATGAACAAAGACTGATTCAAAACCGACCACAGCAGACTTTGTGTAGGCGGATGCAGTTAACATATAGATGATCTGACATTCAAGAAACAGTCACAAAAGGATGAAAGATTAACTTTAAATGAGAAACAACCAATCAGAAGACTGTGTTTGTTTGCTTAACTAATCTATAATAATGTACATGAAAATATATAAATATGTGTTGATTTCCTTAATAAATGATCTGTTGCCTGACTCTTGTTTTCTGTTGTTACAGTAGGACTTCAGAAGTACATCACCATTTCACCTTGTTCTCTGAATCCTTTTTTCTAACTCCATGAATACCCATAAGCTCTCATTTCCTTTTCACATAACATCTTTCATATTACGTTCAGACAATCAACTCATTTGATATTAGATTTCCATTCGACGGTTTGTCTGGGGAGTAATATCACCCAACAGTCTACTCAGCGTCTCCAATCTACCTCCATTTCTTTGTGCATATTTTTAGACAATTGATGCTCGGCTGGTTGTCAGAGTTACTTGTCCTTTATGCATTCTATCTGGTCGTCTGATCTTCTGTATCAAGCGAAGGAGGCGGCTGTTCATGTGTAGGTCTCTGCAGTAGCCTGTTAGAATTAGTTGTTTTCATGATCAATCAAGTCTTTGTGAACTGTTTAAATCCACTGACTTGAAATAAGCATTGAAATCTCGGATTCTACTTCCTTGCCTGAGTACAGTAAATTTCCATACTGATTTGAGAGTAATTCAAGTCTGTTTAACTTTTCCAATCTCGGCTTTGTTGAATTATCTGACATCTTTGAAAATTAAACATACACTTTGTATACATTTGAGCCTAGACTACCACAAAAATAATCTAACCGCATGAAAATATACACATATGATCGCAAAACATTAATCTTTCCCCTAGAGACAACAGAATTTAGCAGGTAAAGTAAACATTTGAAGCATTTCAAAGACCTATTTTCTCCAATGAAAAAATGTCCATGATGACTAGATATGACCGCAAAATAGATTTACTACTTAAATAGTAGTCAGTAAGCAGAAAGTGTACACAAAAAAAGACATGAGCGAAATACGTACTACTGATTATTCACACAGAGATAAGAAAAAGTCATGTTATTCACATTAGCATAGATAAGTATTGCTTAAGACATTTAAAATGTCAGTGTATGGTGTGAGATAAAACAGCTTTCAAGTATCTGAAAAGATTTCATAATGAGTTGATATCTGTTAGAGAACCATTTGGAAAATTTGAGCATTGGTTACGCCACAGGGTGATACTGCATGCTGGTCTCCTCTCGTAAGAAGCAGAGGTAGGTATGCTAGGTACTACTGAAAAGGAATGCCCAGTCGATGGGTTTATCATTATGTGGTTGAGTTCCAAACTAGGCTGACGAAACAGCTGTCCAGTATCCCCGGGTGCTGGTTTTCCAATGATTCTCTGACCAGCGTCAGCGCTCATGAAGAAGAATCTGGATTTCGAAAAAGATATATATCTAATGTCACAAAAACTAGAAGATTTACAGAAGAAAACCAACAAACTGGCTGAAGAGATAGGCAGCGAAGACAGGACTCCAGCAGAATATAGCGACGACGGGCGTTTATGTTCATTTACTCTTATTTTGAATGATCTGGACGTTTGACCCACACATATTTAGTCGAAGACTCAGCACAAGATATTTTGTCAATTACATTACTACTTTTATCCATCATTTTTATTGGATCTTTTAGTTGATTTTATTTTTTTTCCTAATCAGAGACTCGTCGGTTTAAACGTGGAGAGACTCCCAATAATTTTGAAGTTTCTTCGAATTCCGCCTCTGATGTACACTTTTGTATGTTATTGTGATCATCTTGTCATTCTCTGCTTTAACCTTCTCTTTCCGCTTCTATCTGATATTTTTAGGTAGTTGTTTTCGAGTAATATTTTGAATAAGACGTTTATTTCTTTTCGTTGATTATTTGGTGTTGTTGTAAATCGATGTATTCTATCTGCAAGATGTTTAATTAACCACAGTTTTACCGTGAGTGGATGAGCTGAGTGATAGATAATCGAGGAATCTCCAAGAATGTGTAGTTTTTCCACATAGCGTCAATTTTATGCTACCATCT